CACAGAATTCACTTTAATGTAACCCGCCTACAATTTCCGTTCTCAAAATTAGAGCCATCTCAATAAACTTAGTTCAATTGAAAAAAAAAAACGTAAAAAAATGTTTTTCCAAATGTTATATTCTCTGGATTAATATTATCGGATAGTTCCACTTATCCAATGAAAATAAAAAATCGACAATAACTGTTTTGTCCGTTGCCGCTTTATCCTACCCCAAAATGCAGATCGCATTTATTATCATATTGAGATGAAATCTCCAAACAATATTTGTTTGGTCCATGAACGAAACCTATTGAAGGTAACCCGATTTCAGGCCAATATCAGTCCTAATGACCTGAATTTTGGAACATCCGACCGAATTTAGTGAAGAAGCAAGTGAATCAAATAAATCAAATCAGAAAATCGGCTCAGATATAGATATACCTCCCATAGATATATTTAAATCCGTCACATGCATAATATTCACTCCCCAAGCCAGAAATACCTCTGTCAAATTTTATCGAGATCGCTTTAGATTTGGAAATAGCACCAAATGGCTAATATCAGCCCAAATTTTTGTGAAAATCGGTTCAGATATAGCTATAGCCTCCATTTATATGTCTCATCCGATTAGGTGTTAAAGTCCCTCACATGCGTGATATGCACCTCACAATATTGATTTTTGATACCGGACATCAGATACAACTTGAAAATATCTCTTCCAAATTTTAGCGATATCGCTTCAGATTTTTATATACTTTCGATATACATCTTTATCCGATTTTACGGTTATTTTCCATCATATATGTAATATCAGCCCAAATTGGATATATTTTTTCATATTCAACCGAATTTTTCCATTTGGTAAAACTCGATCCGGTGCAATAAATATTTTTAATGTAATTTCTATCGAAGGCATATCATGCACTATACAGCAATGTTATTTGGTATTGGAGGTACAAAAGCCTCCGAAATCGATTCAGAGTTTTATATTGTTCCCAAATTGTGACTACTCAAAAGCCATGATACGCATTCTAATAAGTTTCATAGTTGGAATGATCTACTTCATATAAATTGTCAATATAAACTGTTTTTGTATGGTACCCAGTCGGCCCCGCACTACTCTTGACTTTTCCTTACTGTTTTTTTTTTCGAATTGGTCGAATCGTCAAAATCAGATCAGCCGTTCTTGAGTTATAAGCATCGTAACTAACATAACTTTATTTTATATGTATAGAAGATAAAAGATTTTAAGCATATGTTCCATAGACCGTATTCTTGTGGATAGTGGTGACATCGGGGACTTCGTTTAACTTACTTGATGTGGTCCGACATGTTACGCAGCTGGATGAAGCTTTAGTGCCAGTAAGCACTAATTGACACTCAAAAGCAACTTTTTGTTTTCACACCACTGACGAAGGAAAATCGGGAAACAAATAGCGATTTTCCTTTTAAAATTAAATTTAGTTGTTCTTGTGAAATTAAGTTGTGTTGATGAAATATAATAATTTAATAATATTTTTTATACCCTCCACCATAGTATGGAGGGTATATTAAGTTTGTCATTCCATTTGTAACACCTCAAAATATACATTTTAGACCCCAGAAAGTATATATATTTTTGATCAGCATAAAATTCTATATCGATTTATCAATGTCCGCCCGTCTGTCCGTCTGTGGAAATCACTCTAGCATCCGAGCGAAATTAATTAGGTTATTAAAATTTTACTCAAATGTGTATTATGTCTGCAGGACTTTTGGTATTGAAAATGGGACATGTAGGTCCACGTCTTCGTATAGCCCCCAAATAACGGTACGTCCAGATATTCGGTATTTTGATGATTTTAGCGACATTAGTTGCCGGAATTGTATCAAATATGGTATTTGAAGTTCGTAATAGATACTACAGCATAAAACAGAAAATGGGTTATTGTGGTCCACTTCTTCGTATAGCCCTCATTTAACGGTACCCCCCGATATTCGGTATACTGATGATTTCAGCGACATTATTTACCGGAATTGTTTCAAATTTTTTATTTAAAGTTCGTAATAGATACTACAGCATAAAACAGAAAGTGGGCCATGTAGAACCACTTCTTCGTATAGCCCCCATGTAACGGTACCCCCCGATATTCGGTATTTTGATGATTTTAGCTACATTGTAAACAGATTTTTTTCAAGTTTCGCATTTGAATATTGTAATAGCTTGTGACAAAAGTTGCCTATGCAGATCCAAGTCGTCGTATAGACTCTAATATTTTTAAGATTTTAACAGAATTTTTAACAGATTTTATTTATTTTATTTTTTTATTTATTTTTTTTTGAAAATTGTTAAATTTGTACCAAATGGTGGAGGGTATTCAAAGTTCGGTCCGACCGAACTTACAGCTATTTTACTTGTTTAAATAACCAACTGTATGACATATACAGCACCGCTGCATGTGCATGCAGGCAGAACGATAAGGAAAAACATAAATGTTTTCACGGGTAATTTCAATAAATTATACTAGTAAAAGATCGGTAGGAGAATGCAGTTAGGGTTTTCAAAAAACAATATAGTGGTTGGAGCCGTTTTATAGGGGCCATACCAAAGCATACCGGGAGCTTATACAGACAATTTTATACTACAAAGATTATAATCTTTTGCGAGTCTTAAATATGATATTTGCCATAATTTCGTGGGTATATGTGACTAGGATTATCAAAATACTGAATTTCAGTTTATATATCAAAAACCCGAACCGTTGACCAATATGGACAGTGAATTGACACCGGTTGTAGAAATCATTATGAAGTACAAATACCAAATTTCACACAAATCTATTACAAATGTGGCTTAAATATGGCGAAAATCGTGAAGTATCGTTATATGGGGCCTATACGAAAACATGGGCCTATAGACCCATTATTCTGTCACCGAAGCTGGAACCCATAGCAAACAACAAATAACATTTTTTAGGCAAACCCGTGAAAAAAGGCAAAAATTATCAAAATACCGAATAGCGGGAAGTACTGTTATATGGGGGCTATAAGAAAACGTGGAACTATACATCATATGTAGTGTCACAGAAGCTGGAACCCATAGCAAACAAGGAGTACCAATTTTTAGACAAACCCGTGAAAAAATATGGCAAAAATTATCAAAATATCGAATATCGGAAGTTGCCCTTATATGGGGGCTATATGAAAACGTGGACCGATATATACAATGTTCTGCCACTGGAACCGTAAAGAACTACAATACCAATTTTTAGAAATACTTTATGGGATCTATGACGAATATTTAGAGGTGTTACAAACAAAATGACAAATTAATATATAATATATAAAAAAGTGTTAAGCGGGCTACACTGACAGGCAAAACTATATGTAGACTGAAGAGGACACTATCAGGCACCTTTCTGCGAGTACAAAACCTTGTTCCAAAAGAGTTACAGAGATTTCACAACTTTTTGTATCGGAGAAAAATCAAATAGATAATCTTGTGTAGACGCTACCGTAAATTAATGAAATGATTCTTAAAATAAACATTCCAACCTACCAATATTCTGACTGAGCATTAAAAAAATGTAGGTTAGAATTAATGCTCATATAAAATTTCATGTCAGATATAATTCAAATTTATTTTACAACTTAAGTTAACATTTTCAATATTTCCGTTAGCCTTTGCTAAATATAAACAAATGTATGTGTGTTTATAATTTTCCATCTCATTATTTTATTTTTCTTCTTGTTTCATTTGAAAATTTTGGCAAACGCATAATAAAAATGCAAAAACAACAATACCAATGAATATCCCTCAACTGTTCGAAATGAACGAACGACTATGAAGACAGGGTCATGAAAATTTGAAATTATTTGAAAATTTCTGTGAAATCTATAGAATTCTTCACAAATAAACAATATGGCGGAAAGAAGAACAAAAATATGTATTGCAAAATGAATGTTGAAGACGAATGATATTCAACACTGTTTGGGTCGAAAACTAAGAAAAGAACGGAGAAAAACGATGAATTCTTTAACAGAAGAAATATACACAAAATTATTTTACGTAGAACAGTGGCAACAACAACAACAAACACAACAATAATGATAATGATAATAACACCGAGAGAACCATGAAGAGGTGAATACTACAAAAATAGATCAAATAGTAGAGTAGGCAAAATGAAAAAAAGCCAAAAAGGCGAAAATAAAACAATAAGAATAGCACAATACAACATTGACTGACTGGCTGGCTGACTGACTGACATACAGGCGACTACTCACTCATGCAAGGTGGAGGTGGTGGCATGAATAGATGGCCCAAAATATCCACGCACATACTTGTGTTGCCAGCTTATGTACATATGTGTGGGTGTGTGTGTGTGTAGCCACCCAGCCTTTATGATCAATCCCCTCACTTTCCGCTCCTCCCTAATGAAAGTGCCATGGGAGAATACCTCCTAAACAATTCCCCCATCTGCGAACAACAGGCGGTTGCTTTCCATGTTGTTTCTTGGCATTATTTTCTGTCTTTCTATTTTCCTAGACTTCTGCGAATAGAATGAAGAAACAGAAATTTGAAAATTCTTTCTCTACATACTGAGCGGCCAACTATGATCATCGATTGTGGTATTTTTGGGATGCTGTTGGGTCCATGTGTTGGCCGGGTATTTTGCGTATGAGTAAGATCTTCTTCTCTCGCGCTCTCAAAATGTTTGGTACATATAGTTGCGATTACGTGTTCACAGTTAACAAGTAAAGAGACATATTCCTCCCCCCCCCCCCCCCCCCCTTCCCCATCGTATGCAGTGGTGTGTTTGAGAGAATATATGCGAGGTTCTTCAAAAAGAGATTTCGTCATGTTATATACTAGTGGAAAAATCATCATACATGGGTATGAGAGTGTGTGTTTTTCCTGCATGTTTGGCGAACTGATCCGAGGAATTCGAAAATCGGTGCACAGAGTTAATGGCTGATGTTGTGCGCCTGTGTAAGTGTTTGTATTTGTGTGTGTTTCGTATATTGGCATTTATTGCCTTTGTATTTGTTGCCAAGAATCCACCTTAGAATTACCTTTACAAATTGTTGGCGACGAAAAGTGTTCAGTCGAGACCGAGCTCATCCGCGAGTTAGTTGCTTTTTCTCAAACAAACAGTCAAAATGGTGAGTGTCTGGCTGTGTCAAAAAAAGTGTTCTAGTTTTCAAATAAAACACAAAAAAAAAAAAAGAAATTGTGGAAAATATACCACAGGAACAAATAAAAACAGATAAAGAGTTTAAAAAAAAATGGAAAAACCGTATAAAATAAAATAACTGTGAAAACTGAAAATCAAAAAAATTAAATTAAAAAAAAAATGAAAAAATATCTTTAAAATGTTCAATTTACTTATAACTACTTTTTTCTTCTCCTTCATCATCACCGTCAATGTACCAACTTGATTCCAACACCACCCTCTTCTGCAGGCCGATGTACCAAAGCGTGAACAAGAAAGTAAGTTTTTTTCATAAAAAAAATTGAAGGAAATCCAGGGGATATACAAAAGCTTTGATAAAATAGTCATTATGCAGTCATACGTTTCTAACCTCAAAACGTTGCCGATTTATTTTTAAACTTCAATAAATCTACAAAAAAAAAATACACGAAAACCAAGAAAACATTAAGAATCTGTGTAAAAGTGGATAACTAAAAATAAATATTTAAATTAAAAAGAAATGAGCTGATAATGAAGATAAATCTAAAATATCGGAACTGTGATATAACCAAATGGAATGAATATTATAACCCATGGTGATTTTTTTTGTTCACATGCAAGTTTCAATAACCAAATATGGATTGGTTTACATATACACAATGTGTGGGAGCATATTGGGCTTTGAAAAAGCAATTAGATCAAAAACAAAATAAAAAATTTCTTTAACTTTAATTTTGAAATATTTTTTTTGGCTTTAAATATTAGATTTCCCACACCACTTAGTGTACTTACTTTATATTGGTCAATGCCTTTGCTATATCTTGAGTATCCTAGGTCATAAGGCATTAATCATCACCCCAAGAGATAAGATAATGTAACCTTTTCAAGCATTCAAATTTAGTTCTCAAATAACCAAATTGTTAAAAGCTAACTGAGCTTTCGAAATAAAATTGATGCTAATTTTTTAGGTTATAATAGTAAAGTGGGCGTAGTCAGCACAAAGACAAATTAGAGCGATAAATTTCGATTGCTTCGATGAGGAATTTTATAATTGAATCGGAAACTAAGTTATCTACATTGATGCTGCGTTTTCATTAATGCTCCTTACATTTGATATGCTGCAGAACCAGAAAGAATCTACTAATTTTGCAATATTTTTCGATATCATAAGGTCAAATTCGGTTATTGCAGTAAAAAGTTTTACATTCTTGCAGTTCTGGAGCATATCAAGTGATAATGAGGTGTAATGTAATAATGAGATTTTGATTCAATTAATCGAAAATAACGATTAGAAAATAAACATGGCTCTAGAGCAATTAGATGGAAAATAACTAAAAAAGGATAAAACATGAGTTATTGAAAATAACTAAAGTTATTTATATCACATAAATCTGTATACTTCTTATGAATTTGAAACTGGCATTATTCAACATACACATAAGCAATACATATATTTGCTCTATTCCAGAACCTGCAAGAATCTACTAGTTTTGCAATTGTTCGATATCATAAAGGGAAAATCGGTTTTAGTGTAAAAACTTTTACATTCTTGCAGTTCTGGAACAGAACTTTTAACCCCAGTGGATTTGAAATGCCAATTCGCCAAATCTTAAATCCAGGGGATCTCATTTGACACATACTCAATGGAAATGGATATGGTATTAGTGTAAAAGTTGGTTTAGATTTCCGAATTCCACTCGATCTCAAATATCAATTCCATAGCTTCTACGTCAAATAATATCCACTGGATTTATGTATACATACAAGTGACGAACTGGCATTTGAAATCGAGTGGATTAAGAAGCCCAAACATGCTCTAAAGCGTTTAAAAAAAATTACATTTTTCGTTGAATTTAGCAATTCGATAACTTTCGATAAATCGCATTTTGTGGAAACAGATACACGTTTCTCATAATTTTCAAAGAATAATATGCAAAATAGTAAATACTTCTTATGATATTAAATTATCGAATGTTAATGATATACAGAAAACAATAATTTGGGTACATTTAAAGAAAAATAAATTTTATATAAAAACGATATATAAAATAAATCATTTGTAGGACAACAACTACAAATGCACACTGTTTTTATTTTCGATAACATCGATAACTGTCAAGGTCATAGTCAGAACAACAAAGAAAATTAGGTCAAGTAACTAACTGAGAAAATAACAACAAAATAAATATTAATAGAATTATCAAAATCACGCTGAGGGGGACTAACAACTGCATTTATTTTTAATAAGTAAACAAATAATTTAGGAAAATTATTGGTATTTTTAGTGAGGAAAATTATATAAATAAATCGGAAAAATAACCCGAATTAAATGATGAACTTATGCCAGATAATCTATAGTTTTAATCATTGGACGATAAGAACTATAGCTGTTACAAAAAGTTACCTAAATAAGCAAATCAAAATAATGGTTTGTTGTGCTCTTAAAGCTTTTTGCTAAATATAAATGTTTAATATTATTTTTCAACACAGGAAAAAAATGATTGTAAAAAATCATATTGATAACCATTTGTTTACCAATTAAATTTTGAATTTACCCAACTTAAGTAAAATAAATTTATTGAAATGAATGAAACGTTTGCTATTTTTAAATTAAATTTTGAAATCGTCTTTGTTGTTGTATTTGAAATTTTCGAAATAGTTTCAATACACATTATGTATACATAGTATAAAAAACAGAAGTTCTCGCCCCAAAAAAAAAAAAAAAAAACGATTTCATGACAACAAATCACACATATTAACTCTTTGTTAGCAAAGGCGAGAGAGAAGGAATTCATGATAAACAGTTTTCTCTCAATACGCCATAGAGAATATCATATATACAATGCGCCTTTAGACCATCATGGGCGCATATAGAACACTCGACGTTAAGAAAATACGAATTTAAACGATTGTGAAAGATCATTTCGTACTTGTACGAGTGTGTATGTGTGGGTTTTGGCCAAACGCAATTCTATTTTGGGATATATTCATTTTGTGTATGTATATACACACTCTCAATGTTTGACTAGATCTCAGGAATGTATGCTTCGGTCAGCTATACAATCTTCACACACACACAAATAGAAAACAAATAGAATGAGCATATACCTATATCCATGCGTATGTTGAGAAGGTTTTTTTTAAATATTTTAGGTTTCGAATTTCTTTTGGGTGTATATGTGTTAAAAGCTTTGCCACAAACAAAAAACACAAAAATTTATAAATGTGTGTATGTATATATGACATAATACTTGAAGAAATATATATAAATAGTATTAATAATATATGCATACATACATTTCAAAAAAAAAAAAAATAATAATAATGGGGGAGGCAATAAAATGTATTTCAAAAATATTTTTTCACTGCCATTAAAAAAATGAGAAATTTCGAAAAAAAATTTTTTTTTCTTAAATCGAAAAAAACATTCTAGTGGATTTTGATGGTAAAACAGATAAATATAATTCAAATTAAAAACTTGTTTCACATATATTTATTATTTTTCACTGTCATTAAAAAAGAAAACATTTACGAAAAAAGAAAATTGTAATGGCATTCGACAAAACAATTAAATATATTTTTAGAAAAAAATTAAATTATATGCTTGTAAACAATGAAAAAATTTAAATTTTAATTTTTTAATATCTGTTTATTATTCTTAAATTCTAATTTGGAAAATGGTAAACAAAAGAGTTACAGCTTTTACAAACAATTTCGAATTGTTTCAAATTCGTTCGTTTCGAGTTTTTCAGAAACAGGGCTGGGATAAGGACTTCTTGACCCAGAGTCAGATTTGAACTCATGGGGTTTTCTATGCAAGAAAGATTCCATTCTATTACATTCCATTCATGCTCACATAAAGAGTGCTTGTTCCATTAGATAATCTACAAAATGTTCCTATCATCTTGAGAGAGCACTTGTGCCTGTATTTGTCCGGCCTATAGGATCCATGACTTAAAATTCTTTCAAAATGGTCTTTGAATGATATTTTCCATGAAACTAAGTACAACTTTGAAAACAATATATGTCTCCAGAGCAAAAGGCATATCAGTTCATTTTAGATATCATTATCATTCCCGAAATCTTCAAAACTGTCTTCATTGCAAATCTCACTGAAAACTAACTATTTTTTCAAACTATAAAAACTACCTAAATTTCAAATAATTTTCAAAAAAACTGCATAATGCTATTTTCAAAGCAACGCATTTAAATTTATACCCCTTTAATTGTGCCTCCTAACAAGATGGTATTAATAAATTCCCTCACTTGTTTTTTCTAGATATCGAATTCGTATTCGAAGTTATGGGTGGTCCCGATGGTATCGATGCCTACGACTTGGGTGATGCCCTTCGTGCCCTCAACTTGAACCCCACCTTGGCTTTGATTGAAAAGATGGGCGGTACCAAGCAACGCAAATTGAAAATGATCAAATTCGATGAATTCCTTCCCATCTACTCTCAAGTCAAGAAGGAAAAGGAACAAGGTTGCTACGAAGATTTCATTGAATGTTTGAAATTGTACGACAAACAAGAAAACGGCACCATGCTCTTGGCTGAATTGCAACATGCCCTCCTTTCTTTGGGTAAGTTGTCACTATAAATCTCTCAATGGAATGTTATAACACATTTCCATTCCACAACGAATTTCAGGTGAAAATCTTGAAGATGAACAAGTCGAGACCCTCTTCGCTGACTGTTTGGACCCTGAAGATGATGAAGGCATGATCCCATACTCCCGTAAGTTTTTTTCTCAACAAATATATTTTTTCTCTCTGTCTGTCCGTCTCCATCCTTCTTCATTTGTCCTTTCAAGGATATTGTATTATGTTTAAATTGTATTTGTTTCCTAAAATTTGTATCTTTTTTGTAATTTCATGTATTTGTGATATCTTTTGTGACCTGGCACCATCATGTCTTGTATTTACCTGGCACTATTTGTCTTGTAACCATATATTTATATGTGTGCACTTGTTTTTTATGCTCCCGTTTCCACACGAAAAAAAAAACAATTACCATTTTACACACCCCAACCATTGCAATATATCCTTGACGTATATCCCCACCGTATCCGAAAATGTTATGTGCACACCTACCTACCATCCACCACAGAATTCGTCCAAAGATTGATGAGCGATCCCGTTGTCTTCGACTAAACGGTAAGTTGTCTTTCTGCGAGAAAGCTATTCCGGGTAAAAATTGCTGGTATATGAATTGAAAACAAAATAAAAATTGACACGAAAATTAAATTGGTCCTTTGATCTGAGAAATAGCCCGAAATATCAAATGTTTATCCACAAATCTCCCTACGTTTTCTATGTGTTTTCTCATTTTTTATGTCAAGAAGTACTAAACGAGATCTACAATTAAAGGGTATTCATAAACAAAAGTAGGAATTTAAGAAGAGAACTTTTATAGATAAGAATGAGACAATTTTGAAAAAGGTTAATTCATGGCGAACAATTTTCTTTACGTAAACGAAAAAGAGAAAGTAAGAGAGTTTTAGGTACATGAAAGGATCAAGCGAGATCAAAATATATGAGAGGGGATGACAGAATCTTAAATAGATTAATCTCAGCAGAAAATCCAAAAGATAGTCTTTATAAGGGGTTGTTAGGCGTATTTGTGGACCAATTAAAATGGATTCCTTTTGGACCAACTAAAACCTAGTGGTAAAAAATTATATAAAATGGACACTTAAAACGAGTCTCATAGAGGAGTCTTTAAAGATGAGTTGAAAAAAGTCCTCTTTATGAACGATCTGAGAGGAATATTTATAGACAAATTAAAAGAGACGAGGTATCATTTTATACGAGTAGAAATTAGTCTTTAATCGAGTAATTGAGGATGAGCTAAAAGATGCAATAAGATGAATTCTTTATCGGAAGTCTTAAAAAGAATCTTTATAGACGAGTTGAAAGAGGTTTTCTTACTTGAGGATCTGAGAGGGAGTATTTCAAATGAACCAAAATTAACCTTTATACCAGTTTTGAAGACAAGGCAGCAGAAAAACTAAGGAGAAGTTCTCTCCATGAACGATCCGAAAGCGGTAAAGAATATTTTAGATGAACTGAAATTAGTCTTTAAGCGAGTATATGAAGATTAGGTAAAAGGGTGACTCAAATTGACACTTTAAGGGAATCCAAAAAAGAGAGGAAAGAGTTAGAGTCATGAACGATCTGAGAAGAATCGTAATAGGGATAAGGGAGTATTCTAGACTAGCTGAAATGAGTCTCTAAAGTTTAGGGGAATCTTCATAAAGTTGAACAGAAGTGAGTTTGTGTGGGGTAAAAAATTGGAGTAACTGGCACTGAATCTATATCGAGAAAATAAAAGGCGAGCTGAAATAGTATCCATTCATTTGATGGGTATTTTATATTACTGTTTCGGAAAAGGAACGTTTTTATATCTTCATATTTAGATTCTATGTTATATGTTCTAGATAACTTTCCAGCAATAATTGAAAATTAAAAATGCCTGTATAAGTTATCTAATCATTTTTTTTTTTTCTTTTTTTCCCTTTCTCTTTCTACAGCATTTCTTGCCAGAATGTGCGACAGACCCGATATGCTATAAATTTTTATTGACCATCTGTTAAAAATCTGTAGCTACCACCATTCTCCATAGATGTTATTCGAAGCAAAATCCAAAAAAAAATATAAAAACAAACCATCAATACTCTCTCTCGTAATAATTTAATAAAACAAAAATAATTTAATTAAATTAATTAAAATGCAAACAAAAAAGCAAAAGAAAAACACCAACATAGAAATTGAAAATTATTGAAACAGGACTTCAGCAACATCCAAAAAAGTCCAAGCTAATTTGCCACAACAACACGAACAGCAATGGCTATTAGTTTTCATTTTTTTCTAAATCTAATATATATTTTTTTAAGAAAAATAAACCAAAAAAATCTTAAGAAAACCATATTTTATTATAAAATAACTTATATATGAAAAACAAAACTGAAAAAAAACTCAAAAAAAAGAAGAAAAAATTTAAAAAATTATTCTGTTGTTCATTTTTTTAAAAGCGAAAGAAATAATTAAATTAAAAATACATTTATATAATAAAAACTGATAAAGTGAAAAAGATCACCTAAAAACAACAAAAAACAAAGCAACAACAACAATAATAAGAAAGGTGTAGGCAAGGTGTAAATACTCCCCCGACATGTTGTTTGGTTTAGCAAATTCGTTTAAGGCTTTTTAGTAACAACAACAAAGGCAACACTCGCAACGAACACTGTCCTCCATCCGTCATAAACTCAATCACTACTACCCCCTTTCCACAGCCAAAGTTTTAACTTGAAAGATTGAAAATGCCTTCTCTAAAGAAATCCAGCCCAAATTCAACTCAACTCACAGAGACACTCTTTATTTTTTTATATAAAAACATCAACACTGAAGGCCATTTTGAAAATTGTTTTAAAGCAAGTTAATACCAACCTTCAAAATATTGTTGACTAATCGGAGGCCATTTTATGGAAGCTTCGTTTAGTTTGTCAATATTTTGTCATTACTTTTTGTTTTGAGAAAAAGTTTGGGGCTGGTTTCTTTTTAGTTGGATTTAGCTTTTATTTTGAAAACTAAACTTAGATTTTCTAATTTAATAAATTTCTGAACAAAACTAAATTCTGAATTATTTACTTCAATGTGATGCGAAGTGAGAGATAACAAAGAAAGATGATGTGTTCATGTGTGTGAAGAGAGTAAGCCGTTACTGATGGAGAATTAGAATTCATAAATGATTGCCGGTTTTAGGATGAACTAGGAGCAGGTGGTATGGGGGTGGATATGAAGAAAAGATATGTAGGGAGTCTATCCCTGTGAGAGAGATTCAAGTTCCACACATTAATGGAACACTTTAAAGAAAGTTCTATAATGACAATGTAAAATGTGTAAAACGGTTGCAAAAATTTAAGTTTGAAAATAGTTATGAGTTCAATTTTGAGATCAGATTAGAATCACATATTCAGTACGTTAATGCATGTCAGTCCCTCTGTCTGTTCTTGTATTTTGAAGAGTCCAATTATTTTTGATTTCACTGCCCTGGATTTCTAAAATTCATAAAAACAGGGTACGAAAAATACTAAAATGTATTAAAATTTAATACTTTGTATTGGACAAATTAGAAATATACTGGGTGAGATAAAAAACTGCAACAAAGTCAAACGCCATAATTTTTACATTTTTTTTTTAAATTTAATGAATGAAAGCAAAAAATGTCGGAAATAGCATCAAATTTTAGAATAAGTTTAGATTTGTTCGAATTTGTCGCACGAATTATGACCTTCAAACAGCCAATGAAAACGTCACACTCTGCGCGAATGTTGCTCTACGGTATTTTGGTCCATTTCCGGCGAAGCGCTGAGGTGATCGACACTTTGGTATTTTTTAATGCCTACCTTGCTTTCCAAAATATTCCAGACACAATAGTTCAACGGATTGGTATCCATTGTGCGCTGGAACTGCAGCGAGAAACCTCATTTTGTAACCATTCTTGGGTGGCGCGTGCTGAGTGCGATGTGTGTTGAGTCCTGTTGAAAGCGATGAGTGTTGAGTCCTGTAGAAATGTCTAAGGTCTGCGCCAAAATAATATACCCTCCAGAATATTTTCGCGATAATGTTCGGCATTTATTCTGAAGCTACGGTCGATTAATACGAGCAGAGAGCGTCCATCGGCTGTTATGGCGGTCCACACCATCAACGTGGCCGGCGCTTGAGTTCTGGTGGCCAACTGAAGGTGCACATTTCAAGCTGACCTCTTTGGCAAGTAAAAACGATCATTTTGTTTTTTTACAAACTGCTGGACAACGAATGTTTTCTCATCGGAGAAAATCAAATTCGGCAGTTCACCACTTTCGGCCAAGCGAAGCAACTCTTTGGCTCTTCTGAGTCTATTTTCTTTCTGCCTTACACCGTAGTTCTTGCACTTTTTGGAATTTCAATGGCTTTACCCCGACCCCATTTTTCAATATTTGCTGAATGGAATATTGCGATATGTTCAGCTCACGAGTCATTTTTCGGCCACTGCAACGTGGGTTTCAACTAAGTCGCTTCTTTACTTTTCGAACCATTTCTGCTGATGTTGCTGTTTTCTTCCGTCCACTTCCTTGACGTCGGGCTACGCTATGGTACGAGACACAAAAGATTTATTCACATTTAAGTGCTGGAGTACTCTAACGATAGCCACTTGTGGTTTTCCAGTCCCATGTGAAAAATGTTCTATATAATATAGGTTTTTAACAACCAAATTAAAGCCTATGGCTGAAAAATATGATCAGGCTATTAAAAATATCTAAAACCGACGGTAGGTGAACATCTATTATAATTTTTGCCGTAAATATTTATTTCTATTTAGAAATTACTCTGGAGTCATTCCTTATAATAAAAATTGTGCCGCCTACATAAGTCAGACTTATTATGCTTTAAAAATATGCATTAGGGACAGTCATTCCGGTAGACCATCTGGAATTAAGTTTTATGCGTTTTTCTACGACCCAAAGTATTTAGCGGTATTTAGTGAAAAAAAGTACGGGCCGGCAACGCGGATCGGTCCAGCTAGTACTCTATATAGACAAGGTTTAGAATAAATGTTTGTATACAAATGATATTTTCCCCACCCTGTCAACGAACAGCTGTTCTTGTTAAGATAAACAACTTTGTCACGTGTAAATAATTTGATGGTAACATTTATAAATGTTCATTCATAACATCCTGGCATAATGAAAACACATGATTCATTGAGATTTGTTTTTCAAGGACTTAAACCTGTTGCTTCAGATAATTTTTATGCCTCTTTAAATACGCAGCCTCACTAAAATCAGCTGTAAAACTGTACACCTGTTTTCTTTTATCTGGAGATACATACACACACACGTACACAGCTAATGGGTGATGCTGAATACACATGAATTGAGATCTGGACAAAATCAAAATACGCTCTCGCCATATCAACTATTTTTCTCAAATTTATTTATCTCAATCTAACAGCTGTTGTTATTCAACATATACATATTCTTTCCGATATCAAATTTTGGGCGCCATTTCTCCTTGTCTTTACTTCACAACCAAAAATCATATCCCCATTTAATAATGTTATCTCCATATCGAATGTAATCACAATTGAATTTCACTTTTATTGCGGCAGCGTATTTATTACTCAAATTTATTTTGTTGTCTTAAATAATTTTAGCGATAAATCCCTCAACTAATGAGACAATCAGTCCGGTAGACCATCTGGAATTAAGTTTTATGTGTTTTTCTGCGACCCAAAGTATTTAGCGGCATTTAGTGTAATTGATTGAATACAGAAGTCACCCCCGTCCATCTCCCCCATCCATAGCTTTTTAGTCGGGTTATAAATAATACCCAACACCACCACCAATACAAACAGCGGGGTGTGTATGACATTCTCAAGTGTATTTGGTTTTATCGCAACGGGCAGGGGCGTGCTATTATCACTGTTGTTGGGAAGGGTACATTTGTCAAAAACCAAAGAAAGTTAGGTCTATAATCTGTAATCAATGGGAAATGAGTTATTCCTACTAACATTTCGTATCATGTGAACAGTTGGTAAGGTCATGTACTTATTACTGGCAGAGCGTATGATTGAGATATGGAGGTAGATTTCGAAATTTATACCATGTGCACATAAAGTACTAAAGTTGGTGCAATTACGAATAGGGGATTGGCTAGAATCTTATATTTTGCACGAGGGTCAGGCGTGGAACGTAGGCGTCGGATATATTTTTTTTTTTTTTGAAATTCTTGCTAAAAGGGTTGGACCAGCGGAATGAGCTAGAATTCTGAAATTTGGCATGAATGTCACTGATGGGGTGCGGGATAGATGCACCAAAGGGTTGTTGGAAATTCGAACTTTAAGGTCACCGAACTCTAAATTTTACCGTTTGGTGTTATGTGAACGGATAGAGCTAAAAACTTGAATTGGTTTGGAAAATTTGTACTACAAGAACACGAAAGTTACTAAACAGTACTATATTGGGTACAATTTGGTACTGGGTGAATAGACAGTGCTTGCAGTTGGGTTTTTTGGTTATACCCTACAACGCTATGTGTTGGGGGCATTATAAGTTTGATTTGGGGCAAAAATTATGTAACACCTCGAAATATTGGTTTCCCACAACGAAAAGTATATATTGATCTTCCTATCTCGCCGATCTGAGTCGATCTAGCTATATATGTCCGACCGCCCGTCTGTCTGTCTGTCCATGCTAATTTGTAATCACTTTACAGGTCGCAATTATGGCCGAAATTTAGAAGGGAGGTGGGGCTAGAGCCAGAAGCTTATTGGTTTTGGAGATGATAGCATAATATTTAGGGGTTGAAATGGACCAAAAACTGAAAAATTTCCTGATTTTGCAGTTGTTCTACATGTTGCAATTATAGACCAGTCGAAGCGGAAGTTAGTATGGCGCTAGAGCTTAGGGCTGGGCAAAAGCCTTCCAATTTTGATGGTCATCGGGTAATATAGACTGGGTGAAATAGACCATAACATTTGTTTTAAACAAAAGTGAAAATTTCCATTAAATCACGAATATTTTAAATCCCGGTGAAATCACAAACAGACGAACCGGTCAATTCTGACCGTTACGTGGATGCCGATAGTAAATATATCGGATATATAGCGAAATATATACAATGTGTCTATACAAAGGAAAGGGATGTTAGCTAGAATGTTTATATCTCAAGAATGGCTGGACCGATTTCGACACAAATTTTGTCAATTCAGAATGCCCTCTTGACATAGTAGAATAAAATCTTAAACATTTGTATAAAGAGATGCCAATAATGATGTTAATTTTGTAGAATTTTCTGACATTTTATTAAATATTCACATTTTTTATTGCATGCGATTTTTTCAATTTAAGGTGCACATTTTGTAATATTTTTCACCTTACAGCACAGATTTGGGTTATTATATACAGATTGCAATTATTGTC